TCAGGTAGATTACAGGATAAAATAGCTGGCACTAAATGGAGGGAAAAGTTAACAGAATATAAGGTAACCTCGAAGAAAATTAACACTACACAGCATATCAAGACAATGAAAATCAAGGAAGAACATGGAAATATTAAAACTATGAGGAAACTCACAAGAAAGAAAATAAAAAGCGTGAACTCAGCAAAGGAAGACACACAGAACAAAGAAAGCAGCAAAACCATAATGGCAGCAATTAGTATATACCTATCGATAATTGTGTGGCACTTTGGGTTAATACGCCAGACTGGAAAGCCATTTGAACTGCAAGGTTGGTTGTTCAAACTCAACAACTTCTCCTCAGAAACCCTATATAGGGATGCTATGGGTCAGAATCAGCACTTAACAACAACAACAACAATAGAAAATTACACTGAGTGTAAATGGATTAAATGCACCAGTTAAGAGACGGAGGGTTGCAGAATGGATATGAAAACAAGATCCTTCAATATGCTGTCTGCAAAAGACACATCTTACACACAGAGACAGATTAAAAGTCAAAGGATGGAAAAATATACACCAAGCTAATTACAATAAAAACCTAACAGGAGTGTCAGTACTAATATCTGATAAAATAAACTTTAAGGCAAAAACCAGCATAATAGATAAAGATGGACATTATCTCATGATTAAAGGGGCAATTGAACAAGATGGCATAGTCATAATAAATATCTATGTTCCCAATGAAAGAGCTCCAAAATATATAAAAAGAAGATGGAAGGAATACATAGAGTCATTCACTAAAAATAAGTGGTCGATGTTTAACCACTTCAAGAGGTAGCATATGATCAGGAGTCAATGGTACAGAAGGAAAAAGTCCAAAGTGTACTGAAGTCATTGACAAAGAAAAGGTTCTGGGAGTTGATGGAATACAAATTGAAATCTTTCAGTAAACTGATGCAGCACTGGAGGCACTCGCTCATCTATGCCAAGAAATTTGGAAGACAGCTAAATGACCAACTTGTTGAAAGAGATCCACATTTTTGCCCATTCCAAAGAGAGATGACCCAACCCAACTGAATGCAGAAATCATCAGACAATATCATTAATATCACAGGCAAGTATAATTTTGCTAATGATAATTTGAAGCAGCCTCAGCAAGTTCTCTTTGACAGGGAATTGCCAGAAGTTCAATTCAGACTAATATGCAGATGTAGAACTAGGGAATTCATTGCTAATGTCAGATAGATCTTGGCTGAAAGCAGAGAATACCAGAAAGATGTTTAACTGTGTATTGACTATGCAAAGGATGGCAAGACTTTGTCTGCCGTACTTTGGACATATTTTCAGGAGGTACCAGTCCCTGGAGAAAGACATCATGCTTGGTAAAATGGAGGGTCAGTGAAAAAATAGAAACGAGCCTGTAATAACTTGACAGCACCTAATAAGAATAAATGGAGAAAGATTGAAGTTATCAAAGATTTCATTTTGGTTGGATCCACCCTTAACAGTCATGGAAACAACCATCAAGAAATTGTATGATGCATTAGGCATATCTGCTGCACAAGACCTCTTGAAAGTATTCAAAAGTAAAGATATCAGTTTGAGGACTAAGGTGAACCTGACCCAAGCCATGGTGGGTTTAGTAGCTTCATATGCATGTGAAATGTAGACAGTAACAAATACTATCCAAGAATTAATGCATTTGAGATACACTGTTGGCAAAGAATATTACAAGTACCATGGACTGTCAGAAGAACAAACAAATACGTGTTGAAAGAAGTGCAGCCAGAGTGCTCCTTAGAAGCCAGGACGGTGAGGCTTGTCTCTCATACTTTGGAAGTCATATTATCAGGAAGTCCCAGCCTTTGGAGAAGGATATCGTGCTTGGTAAAGTGGTGAGTCATTGAAAGCCCAATGAGATGGATTGGCACAGTGGCAGCAGCAGTGGGTTCAAGCCTAGCTATGATTGTGAGATTGGTGCAGGAATGGGCAGTGTTTCATTCTGTTTTGTATAAGGTCACTATGAGTCGGACCTGACAAAAGTACCTAACAAAAGCAACAAAATTAAACTATAGGTTGAAATAACGAACCCTGATGGGATAAAAGTTAAAGCTTAACATGCCTACTAAAAGAAAATGGCTCACAATTTAACGTAACAAATTACGTGTTTTTTTTTGTTTTTTTTTTTTTTTGGGGGGGGTGGTATACAATTTAGTATATTTTTCTTCTTTAAAGAACTTCAGAAATTGAAACAAAATGGAAATGTGCTCAGATTTAAGTATTTTGAAAGGTAAAATTCCAATATGTATAAAAAGTATATGCTACTGTACAAATAAGAGAATCCATTATTTACTGTTTATATAAGTTAAATATATAATGAGAGATTCCAGATATAAATTATGACAGAAAAGGAGTCTGCTGTGCTTTGTGGCTATGTGAATAGGTGGTATTTTATTAAGATGTAAAAGTACTTTCAGACTTATTTAGGTGAGGCATTGTGATGAATATTTTATAGACTCAAGTGACATAAAGTTGTGTCATTTAAGATTACTTTATCTAATCCTTTTATCTTAGAAATGAGAAAATAGAGGTCCAGTGAAGCTATTTGACTTGTTTAAAACTACATACCACTTAGTGGGCAAAAGTTAACCAAAGCCCAAATCTCCTGATTCCCACTGCATATCCTTTGATTCAATTTCTTATCAAATGTCATGCACATGGAATGTCCTGCAGCTTCGTGTAAACAAATTACAGACCCATAACCATCCACAGAGACCGGTGCCATTTTTCTAGTGGCTTTATGGGAACTAGATCATTGGTTGCTTCTCAGGTGGCATGTTTGCTTATTTATCTCATGGAACATATACTTGTGTTCTTTCAGTAATTCAGGAATCTCCAGGAGAAGGGATCAGATGGTCCATAATAAGCTTGACAGACATTTCTTACAAGGATGCTGGGGATTACAAATGCAAGGCCAAAAATTCGGCTGGGATGTCTGAAGCTGTGGTTACTGTGAAAGTGATTGGTGTAGTCCCAACCACAACATCATCAGAAACATCTGAAAGAAGAACTGGAGATCATCCTGAGCAAGAGATCAAGTCAGGATCTGGGAGATCTGTATCCATACGTAGTTCATTGTCATCTCTGTGGCCCTCTTCCTCCTTATCTTCTTCCCTTGTTCCTTCCATTTCTCTTTCTACTTCTACTTTGTCTCCTCCCTTTTCTTCTTTCTCCGTATCTCCTTTAATATCCTCCATTGGTTCTTGGGCCACAACTCCAAACACTAGCATTTCAGCAAGTGCTACCATGGCCAGCAGGCACTCACTCCCACACCACCCAGAAGGGAAAAGAAACTTGAAGGTGGAGATTTCGGGTGGAAGCAAGTTTTCTCCAGATAGTGCAAGCAAGCAAGAAAAGGCGGCATTATTGGATACAGCAATGCCTACGGAGACAAATGCCACAATAGGAAACCTCACAGTACTTGGGCAGACTGAAGACAGTGTGACTTTGATGTGGGATACCATTAATACCACACGTAGCTCTGCAGTGACTGTTCTATATTCCAAGTATGGTGAGAAGGATCTGCTCTTGCTGAATGCAGACTCCGACAAGAACCAAGTCACCATAGAAAGCTTGGAGCCTGGCAGGCAGTACATAGCATGTGTGTGCCTGAAAGGGGGACTTCCCCAGAAAGACCAGTGTATCACCTTTTCTATGGACAGAGTTGAAGACGACGATGATTTTCAAGAGACTTTCCTAATTGTGTTGGGCAGTATTGCCTGTATAGTTGTCTTGTTGTTGATTTGTTTTCTGTTGTACAAAGTTTTCACACTTCAGTGGAAGTCAGATTTTTTGAGGGAAGATGATCTGACCAAAGAGACTTATATCCAATTTGAGACCCTGTCCCCTTGGTCTCAAAGTGTAGGGGTACTCTGGACACAAAGCTACAAAGAAGACTCGGAAAAATTGCTGCTTTGCTCTAGGGCAAGTGTAGAATCTCAGACGATTCTAGATTAGAGTATTATTCCTAAGGCTTTGCAGCTCATGTGTGTGTAAACTACAAATTCGGGGTTTAGGGATATAGCTAACCTGTTTGGATGAAGACTGATCTTAAATAAAATGGAAATTCAGACGGTCACATTCTCTATTAAAATCACAAATGGAATGCTATAAGTGGATTTAAAAAAACGAGCTGAGACATCTGAACTGAAAAGACAAATAATCTTGAATTTTGTGAAGTGGAAAATGTCCATAGACATAATTTTTAGAATAGTGTTAATAATTTAATAATACTTTTTAAGGTAAAATTTTACTTCTCAAAAGTAAATTCATGGGAAAATAATTAATAAGATATGAAGCATGAATTTTAAAAAAGATAATTTTTTAAGTAATAAAGAATGATTAGTATAACCACCTAAGCCTTTATGTTCATTTGTGTTCAAAATACTTTGTGGCATTTGCTGTGAACCTTTGATGGCTTTACCTAGGGGGCAGTTGCTGTTGTTAAGTGCTGTCGAGTTGGTTCCGATGCATAGTGACCCTTTTTCCAAAGAGCAGCTGGTAGGTTTGAACTGCTGACCTTGTGGTTTGCTGTCCAGTGCTGATCCACAGCACCACACCAGAAGCTAGATAATAAAGAATTTTGCTTTCACTGCTGATGCTGAAGGATAAGCGCTAGAAAGCTAACTGCAGCGTTGGCAATTCAGACCCACCAGTTGTTTCACCGGAGAAAAAAGAGACACTCTGCTCCCTTAAAGATTTACAGTCTGGGAAACCCTATACAGGGTCACTATGAGTTGGAATTGACTTGAGAGAGGTGGAGGGTTTTTTTTTTATTAAGGTTAAATCCAGCCCAGTAGAGAAAGAGAGCTCTGTCTAGTGGCACCATTGTGCGTTGCAGTATTATAGTGTTGTGTTCATATTGCATGTAAAACTTCCCTTTGTCTTTATTAGAATCATAGCTATTAGCAAAAATATAGAGCTAATAAGACCGTTTCTAAAATTATAACTGTTGTAATCTAGCACATCCATTTGAGTCTTTTTAGGCATATTGTGTGGTTTATTTGTTAAAATAATATGCTCATTAAAAAATCTCTTGAGTATTTTGACATTTGTTCTTTCTTTCACTCTTCTCACTTTTCCCCTCTCTCCTCTATTTCTCCCTCCCTCTCTCTCTCCCTCCTCTCCTGCCTTCCTTCAGGAAGCTAAGACATCACAAGTTAAGTCATTTGTCTCTGACACAGAGTATTTTAATAAAGGAAAAGGAAGCCTTTTGAAAATCTTTTAGAGCAGCATCAATAGATTCATTTGGTCTAACTTTTTCTAGGTTAAAAACATCAGGGAAATTAAACTAGAGGGAGTCACATAAAGAGACAGGAAAGGATCTTTAGAAATACATTTTACTGACGATTATATTCTATTTACACTGAAGATATTAGCGTATAGAACAAATTTCTGAAGTTTTGTCAGAAATTCAGAAATATTCTGAGAAACCAGCTCTAAAGAAAACATTGTTGTTGTTGTTGTCAGGTGCCATCGATTCGGAACCGACTCATAGCGACCCCATGCACAGCAGAACGAAACAATGTCCGATCCTGGGCCAACCTCACTACCGCTGCCACACTTGAGTCCATCAATGAT